TATAAAGCCAGGAGCACCTTTCTGGAAACAAATGAAGTCTCATTAGTGGGAAGTCGAGGCTAAAGCAGAATCAGATCTTTACATTTTATCAGAGGGAGGTTTCAGGCTTCGATAATCAAATGCAGGCACGAGCAATGCCCATATATTTGCAGTACGTATGCATTATTGCAATATTGGATGAAAACATCACAGTTTAGAAATAATCCCAGCTCTGTATTTGTGTGGACATGTCCTACTATCTCCTAGTATTGCAGTAAAAGCAAGAGTCTGCAGAGAGGGTACAATTAAAATGGTGCATTAGAGCAGCACAGTGACATTGGCAGTGGAGTTTTCTCTGCTATAAACCTTCACCCACTGCCTCCAACAATGAGGAAGAAGGGAGAAGAAATAAGTTGGAGATGTTTCTTTAAAGAAAGCACTAAACTTGGTAAAAGGACACAGCTTTGCTACCTTGCTCTCTGCCCCTCATGCCTCAGGATATCATAAATTTTTGATACCAATAAAACAGAATTTTTGATGAGCTGCTATTTTGCATTAAAGCAACTTTACATGCAAAGATTGCATAATAGGAAGTAAAATTGAATTTTGCCTCAGAACAAGTTCTTATTATTAATTTAAGTGTTTTTTATATATTTTAGCAGCAGCTTATCATTCTATATATTTAATTTCTTTCAAGTGAGAACACTTAGCATTGGTTTCCTTGTCTAAACAAATCTTTTAAGAGAATACATGTATAAAGTGGAAATGCAGTGTTTTGAATCTGTGCCTTAAGACAAACAGTGAAACTTTGAAAGGGGAAATAAAACATGGCAGAGGACAACTATCTCTAAAACCCACCAGCAGTCTCCATGGGACAGGAAAACATGTCTCTTTCTCTATGTGGAATTATTGTTTTCCCTCTTTACTGCAGTGTTTATTTCTGCTCTACTGTGACAAAACTGCACACACGATAAGCCCCCATTGGAGAGATTCTTTTTAAGGCAGAGGATCTGCAGCACCTGAGGTCTCGAGTCCACCACAGTCCATTTCCTAACACTTCCACACCGTGATGTGTGGGACCAGCTAAAATATAAATTGTGTCTTCCCTGTCCTCGATGCAACAGCCAGAAAACATTTTGCAGCACTTCATGCTGCATTCAGAATTCAGTACTGAAATCACCATTTAAAAATCAAGAAAAGGCAGAGCTTGAAAGCGTCTTTTAACTCCCCCCTTCTTGTTCTCCTTCTTGCATGAAACAAAAGTCCAGCGTGGGATCCTACCAGACCGCTGCGTGAGACATTACTGAACACGCTACACGGGATTATGCAATAAGCTATTTAGAGTGCGTGTGTGTGTGTGTGTGCACAGACCTTCCGATTTAATGTAACCCTGATGGAGTGAAACGTAATGATTTTAAAGGGGGGGCAAGGGGGGAGAAGGAAAAAAGTAAGGTGAAACTGGCCCGAATAAAGATTAAAAAAAAAAAAAAAATAAGATAGAGAAGAGGGACCCCCGGGAGCGGGGCAGGATGCGGGCAGCGGGAGGCGCGGGGCCGGGAGCCCGGCAGCTCCCCGACCCCGCGGAACCTGAGCACGGAGCTGCGCGGCCGCGGAGCCGGAGAGGGCTCTGCCGAGCGCTGGAGGTGTTTTATCTGCCCTCCCCGAAACGCGACACCCCCAGCCCCGAAGAGCTTCCCTGACCTTGCTCTGTCAATCACCCGCACTGAGCAGCCTGCTAGAGCCAGGCGGGCACGACGCCAGCCCGAGGGGGAAAGGGGGAAGGAAAAAAAGAGGGGGAAAAAAAGAAATTAAACCCTAAACCAGCTGGGAACAGTTATCTCGCAAACCCCTGGCTCGTCATTATAACGCATCTCGCCTGCCCACCTCGATACCGAGCGACTCATCTGCCGGCCGGCAGCAGCGCTCAGCATCCCTGGGAAGTCTTAGAGCGATGTGTCTATCTTTAGTTCAAAAAGTCCTTTTAGTCTTAGATGTCTCTGTTTTGGAATTAAAGACAATCAGCTTTATACACCCTCCTGGAGGGGAGGAGGGAAGGGAATATTGAGAAGAGTCTATTAAGCGCTTGGCAGCGATAGTCTGTGAGCTCTGTGTCAGTAAATGGGGGAAGGGGGGGGCTGTTGCCAATTGTGTTTCCTGTCTGAGTGTCTCGTTCAGTTTGGGAGCAGCCGTAGCCGGTCGCCACCTCTGTCCCGGCGGGGGGTGCGGAGCTGGCTCCGGCTGTTAACAACAGCTCTTGTAAAACTGCGAGATCGTGATTTTCACTTGAGGGAATCGTCCTCCTGCGCTATACGAGATCACGTACTAAACCGTCGTCTGGCAGACAAATTTAGCGGGGCAAACCTGGGGTCCTTCCCCGTCACACGCCCCATCCATCCCCGGGGTGCAGAGCAGCCGCCCGCCCCGCCGGGCTGCCCTGGGGGGCTCCCACCGCCGGCAAAGGCACCGCCACTTCTGCTCCCCGCGCATCCCCAGCGCTTGGGGCTCCGCTCCGGCCGTGGGTGCTCGGCCCGGGCCGAGTCCTGGGCCCGGGGCCGGTCCTGTCTCCCTGGCACCCCGACCCCATCCTTCCCGGGGCTGCAAGGAGTGACTCGGGATGGGGGCCGCTGCGCCCGGCTGTTTTGGAGGCTCTTTGCAGCATCTTCGCTCCGGAGAGCCCCGAGGGCGAGCGACGGGTCGCCTGGGCGATTTCGGGAGCGAGGGTTGGTCAGTGCCCGGCCCCTCCGAGCCGTGGCCTTCGTGAGCCCCGGAGCGCGGCAGCAGCTCCCCCGACCCCTCCGAGCCCCGGGAGGGCCAGGCCGGCTGGGGCTGCGGCACCGCAGGACGGGCAGAGCACCCGCGGGCAAAGCGGCACGTCCGGAGACGGGGGAGAAGAGGGCTTGGGAAGGGATGATGCTCTTTCCCCGCAGCTGACACGCAGCTTCTCTCCGAGAGGAGCGGGGAGCCCCGGGCGGGCGCCCCGGAGCTGACCCGCGCAGCACCCCGCGGGCAGGCCGCTCCCGGGAGGAGAAAGAGGGGAAAGAGGAGTTTTCCCTTCGCTTCAAGTAGCTGCTCTCCGTGGTTGCCCCTGTGTCAACCAGGTGATGAACGGCGAGAGATCAAAGTCGATCCCGTGGACGGCAGTAGGCGAGCGAAGGGAAGGGGGTCACCCCTCGCTGAGGGGGCTCCCCCGGGGGGACAGGCAGCGGGGGACAGGCAGCGCTGCCCCCCCCGGTCCCCGCAGGGCTGCCTGGCCCCGGCGCCGGTGCTGCCCAGCCGCAGGCCGAGCAGAAGTGCGGGTGGGTTTTGCCCCCCTCGGCGCGTTGAAGCCCCTCCAGGAGCCGCCTGCGCGGGCAGAGGAGCCAGCCCGACCCCGCGGCCCGGCCCCTGCTCCTCGCGGCGCCCGCCGAGCCCTGCCCGTCCCGGTCCCACCGGCCCCAAGTCCCCCGATGGGACGGGGTTGCGTTTTTCTTTCCTTTTAAAAGGAATAGATGAAAGGCCGGGAGCGGGGCCGGGCCAGCAGAGCCCGGACTGCCCGGGCCGTGCCGCGGGGCTGCCCCGCCGCTGACACCGTTCTGCGGTGGGAATCTGGAGGGCTTTTCTAAGGCCTGCTTTTCCTACTTTTTTGTTGTTGTTGTTGTTGTTGTTGTTCAATTAGGCCTAGTGATTTATTCAATGCATGCATGAGGGGACATTAATATGCGGTGGCAGTTCCCACAAACAATATTCCTCTCAGACTTTCTGCAGCCATAGCATTTGCTGGCGAGGGGGGAGGCTATACAGGGAAAGCCAGGCTCTCCCAGCCTTTTCCTTTGCAAACTCCTGTCCCCCCTTGGCAGGGCAGCAGGGTACGAGCTTGTTCTCCGGGCCTGACTCATGCAGCCGGGGGGCAGGGACGGGCCCTGGCCCCTTCCAAACTCCCTCAGCCCAGTGGTTGGCCCAGCTGGCTCTGACAAGGCAGGGATGGGGATGGGATTTAAGAGGGGATTTTGTTTTAAGTTACTGTATTTGCTTTTAAATTATTTTTCCACACTCTGTCCTTAACCGGTTTGTTCTCCGAACACGCCTTATGCTGTCCCTGCAAGGACAGCTCACTGCTGCTGGGAAGGGCAGGAGGGCAGAGAGAACCTATTTTTTCTGTTTCTGTGGTACCTTGGATTTTGGTTTTAAGAGGGATTTAAAATTCAACACCGTTTTCACACTTCGGAGAGCAGCAGCGTCCAGACACGCCGCGACCCGGCTCTGGGAGTCCCTTTCCCGCACCCAGGCAAGGAGCGGGTGGTATTTTTAACCTCCTCCTGCTTCACTTTAGGGAGCTGTACAGCTATTCTGCCTTGGGAGCAGTTGGTGCATGGTTCTGGGGCTAAGAGGTGCTGAGCCCTGGAGGGTGGTGGAGGGAGATACGTCCCCTTCTCCACACGCACCTAAAGAGTCTTCGAAGCTGCCCGTTGCTCATGCTAAAAAAAAAGCAGCCGGAATAAATACAGTGTGAGGACAGAGAGGAGGATGGACGGGAGGAAAGTGAATGGCCAGCACGGATCCCAAAGGAGCCGGGGAAAGGACAGACTTGTCCAAGTTCTCTCCTTTTCTAATGTAAAAAGGGAAAAAAAAAAAAAAAAAAGAGAGAAAGAAAAAATTCAAAAGAGGGGTGGCTGCCCTTAGCGCTTCCCCGCTCCCTCAGCCCGGGGAGGCTGAGGTCGGACACTCCCGCTCCCGGCGGGGGAAGCGGAGCCCGGGGGGGGACACCCCGCCAGGGCCGGCGCGGGGGTCCCCCGGAGGGGCTGGGGCGATGCTCCCCCTGACACGGGCGAGCTCCGAGCCGAGCAGAGGAGGGTGGGGGGCTGAGCGCTCCTTCCCCGCCGGCAGCAGCGTTCCCGAGTGGGCAAAGCGGCCCCGCGCCCCCCGCAAGCCCAGTGCCGGCAGCAGGGACAGGACGGGGAGGGGGCCACAACTTTTCCTTTCTTTCCTTTTTTTTTTTTTCCCCCGGAACACGAGACGTCAGAGAAGCAGGTCCCTCCAAGAAATGCCATTTCAATGATTTTAATAAGCAAAATAGGAAACAATTTTAATAACCAAAAACAGAAACCAGTCTGAATAAAACTACAATAGACCAGGTTTTTAATATTTTTCATATCATAAGCAGGATTTGAAATTGATCCCTTCAGAACTTTACATGAAATAAAAACAATTTTTTTTCCGCTGCTGCAATGTTTTGATTTCAACACAGTTGAATCAGTAAAAACCAAAGATCGTTTTCTGATGCATGACTAATATCCACAATATTTAAAACTGCAAGCACCATGCTGTTCATTACAATCTTGTTATTACTGTTAATTTATAAACTAATACAAACTTAAAATGCATCCGGCCAGCAGTGCCAGCTATCCTAAAAGGAAACTAAAAAATAAGTTTTCATTTTGGTATTTTTGTCAGTGCAACGTAAATCCTTTTACTGACCTGCAGGAGGAAAAAAAAAAAGTAATAAAAACACCCATAAGACTCCAAACTACTACTACTATAGAACTGCAAATAAATTTTGGCTAAAACTTTCACTCGCTGCATAGGGAAGCAGAAAAGCAGATTACAAATCATTGCAAAAGAATACACTCAAAAGTTGCAGTATGCCTTCTTTAAAAAAAGTTTTAGTTTTATGCACTTTCCCAGCCCACTCATCCACTGCTGCCATTGAGAAACCCAACTTCAGTGGCCACACGGAGCCCTCGCTGCTGTCACAACTTGACTCCTAACGAGGAGGGCTTGGGGTTATTTTTTCTCTTTATTTACCGAAAATCAAGGGGCAGTTGTTTTAGAAAAGGAACTGGTATCTCGTCCGTCCTTCGCTTCCTGAGTGTACAATCAGAAGGGAAACTATGGCCAAGCCTAACCACTCCAGGCTGGGAATTGTCCTGAAGGAAAGAGCTTCGCTGCCACTTTAAGGCATGGAGTAGGTTCTAGTGACCGATGAGGGGTTTTCCCTGTTAAGTTTAGGTTTGTCAATACCATTCAGGCGTTTTTGCTTCTGCCCCAACAAACAAAAACCAAAATGAAAACTAACAACAACAACAAAATACAACTTAAAAGTGCACCAGATATACAAAGTTGGTTTTTTTCTAATGCAAAATGCCCATAACTTTTTTTCCTTAAGTATCTCTTTAACACCAAACAAACCGTATAACCAGCCTGCTGAAATGTTATTTTGCTTTTTGTGTATTTTTTTCCTGTGCGGTTTGAAGTAGCAGATATTTACAAGCTAACAACCATAAAAGAAAACAAGAGCAAAACCAACGAACAAAACTGCACAAGCAGTAAAAAGTTTGATAACTTGTGATGCTTTTCTTATTGATGAAACAAAACAACAGAAATCTATGATCAATGATCAACATGCTATAGTTAAACAAGAAAATGGTACAAAATAGAAATTATTACCATACATGTCCAGCATGCAGGATTAATATTTTTAATGCAGATTTTCGTATTTTTCTATATAATCAAGCAGGCAATAAAACTGATGAGTTTTTTTTCTTTCATTCTTTCTTTTTCTTAGATTGAATGTCCCATCTGAGTCCTGTAACTTATTTCTCAAAGCAGGCAATATATGAAGAGTTTGCATATATTGTCCTTTTTATTTATTCTCTTTTTCCAAGCAGGTAAATTGTGCATGAGATGGTGCTGTATATGTCCTCTCTCTTTCCAAGCAGGCAGTACGTTATAGATGGCTTGTTCATTGTCCTTTTTTATTGTTATTCTTTTAAAGTCCATCTCGCTCTGCAAGCAAGCGATCTATAAAACGCTTCACTTGTCCTTTTCTCCTTTGCCTCTGCCTCTGTCTCTGTCTCTAACTCGCACACGAAAGTCAAAAAGTTGCACTTTACCTCTCCCATCCCCACCCCCAGCCTACTTTTCCCACAGCTACTCTAGAAGACTGGATGCTGCAAAAAAAAAAAAAAAAAAAAAATCAAGTCTCTATTTTTCTCTCCTTCTTTCTCTCTAGTCACGCAGACGGATGGATGGAGATGTCGGAGGAGGATGGGAGCGGGGGGAAGGTGACAGGGGTCAGGTTTGGGGGGGGGGGTTGTTTGTTTTTTAATTATTTTTGTTAAGCACTCACATGAAGAACTCGGGGGAGGATGGGTTGTCACTGGTGGAGCCGGCCTCTCTGAAGCCATTGCTGGCAAGTTTCTCACACTTGAGCTTGTAGGCGTCTCTCTCTCTGGCCAGCCGGGTCACTTCTTGCTTGAGCTGTTCCACCTGCTGAATGAGCTGGGTCTTTTCGTTCTCCAGGTGGTGTTTCTGCTGGACACGTTTATACCGGCAGGACTGGGCATAGCCCCTGTTCTTCAAGGTCCTCCTCTTCTGCTTGAGGCGGATCACCTCGTCTTTGGTGAAGCCTCGGAGGTGCCTGTTGAGCTCCCTCACAGACATGGAGACCAGCTGGTCATCTGAGAACCGGTCCTCCACGCTGCTGGAGGGGGGATGCTGCTGGTGTGAGTTCTGGAGCTGCTGGGAGGAGCTGGAGGAGGTGGAGGGAGTGGGAGAGGCCTGGTGATGATGATGGTGGTGATGGTGAGGGTGCCCGCTGCCGGCCAGGTCTTCGTGAGTGACTGCGGGGTACTGGTGGTGGTGTTGGTGATGGTGATGGTGGTGGTGGTGGTGGGCCCGGAAGCTCTCGAAGCCTTGAAGCTGCTGGGACACCTGGTGGGACCCGATGAGGGCTTCGACCGCGTCCTCTGGAGTGAGGTTCAGCGCCTCGGGGTTCATCTGCTGGTAGCTGTTGGCCATCCAGTACAGGTCCTCCAAGTGGGTCTTCTGCTCGGTGGGGCTGAAGCTGGGCGAGGAGGGCACGGAGCTGCAGGGGGTGCTGATGGGGGTGGAGGAGACGGAGCCGGCCGGCTGCAGGCGGGTGCAGTGCCTGCCCGAGCGGTCGTTCCTGCCCAGGGGCTCCTTCTTCACGTCAAACTTCATCAGGTCGAAGTCGTTGACGTACTCCATGGCCAGCGGACTAGTAGGCAGCTCGGCTCCGATGCTGAGCTCTCCTGCCATCGCTGTCTTGCGGGCACCTCTCCCGGCGGAGGGGGCTGGAGACCTCACCCCAGCGCGCAGCCTGGCACAGGGCTGGCTGCGCTCCCCTATTCCAAAGCAACTTTGGCTTTCAGCTCTCGCTTCCTTTCCTCAGCTCCCCCTCCACCGCCGCCTCCTTCTCCCGGCTTCTGGGGCTTCTTCGGCCCGGAGCAACAAAGCCAAGGAAGAGCCGGCCCCCGGGGCCGCCTGGCTGGCTCCTGGCTCTCGGTGTCAGCGTTCGCCCCGCACCGCGGGCTGCGGCAGCTCCCGGCGCCCGGTCGCGAGGAGAAAGGAGCGGTAGCAGGAAGGGCAAAAGCAAAACAAAACAAAGATGCTGCCTTCGTGTCTGTGCAGGAAGAAGGTCGGTGCAAACGCCCAGCCCGCGCCCCCGGCCGGGTTTTGTAAGTCCGGAGCCCGCTCCCCGCGGCAGCCGAGCCCGGAGCCTGCCGCAACTTTCCAGCCCGAGCGGGCGCCGGGGCAGCGCTCGGGCTACCGGCGGCGGCGGGGCTCTGCACGGGAGTTTCGCTGGCTCTGGCAGCGCAGGGGAAGGGGAGGGAAGAGGGGGAGGAAGGAGGAGGGAAAAAAAAAAAAAAGAAAAAAAAAAAGGAGGAGAGAGGGGGGACGAGCTGAGAGGTCTCTGCTGTAGCTGCCGCCGCCAGCGCTCGTTGTGCAGCTGTGATCGCAGCGCAGCCCCCTTTGGCTTCTTATACGGCCGTGCCCGCCGAGAGCGCGGCGGGGGCCGGGGCCGGCGGCGGCCGCGCCAATGGCAGCGCGGCGGGGCCGGGCCGGGCCGGGCCGGGCCGGGCGGGGCGGGGCGGGGACGGGCCGTGACAGCTCCGCAGCGCCAGCTGAGCGGCCGCACCGCTCCCAGCCCCGCGCCTCCGGGCGCTCCCCGGCTCCCCCCGCCCGCACCGCCGCCTCCTCTTTATCTGTTTCGCTATTTATTTATTTATTTGTTTGTCTCCCCCTCCCCCCCCCATCATTTTCGGCCTCTGCAGCCCACAAAAGGATGACGGCTCGGGGACATCCTGCCCGTCCCTTTGTTCTAAATATAACAAAAGTCCCCTTTTCGCCCGCTGCCGTCCCACAGCAAATGTCAAGACAGCCAGCTTCCCCCCACGCCACGCACAAGCATCGCCCTCTCCAACTTTATATAAGCGTCCCCGACGCGAAGGCACCGCGGGAGAACCGGCCGCGAAGGCGCGGCGGGTCCGGGCGGGAGCGAGCGCTGGGCTGGGGAGGCGCCGAGGGGGATGCGCGGGGAGCCGGGAGCGAGGGAAGCATCGGTTCGGCAGGGCTGTCAGCGCTCCGTGTACAACCGGGGAAACCCTCCCGGTTACAGGAAGCAAATCTCTCCCTGAAGTAAAGCAGCGGCATTGACACAGACAATTGCAAATATTAGGGAGAGAAGGGAGAAAATATAATTACATTTCGGGACCGTGTTTGCTTTCTTCTGCTGTTCCCTGAGTGAGTGACTGCATGCAAAGGAGTACTCGCCTTGTAAGGTTTTTTAGTTTCTTCTTTTTTTTTTTTTTTTTTTTTGGTCCCGTAACAGGATTTTTTTTTTAACATTTTGTAACGCTTAAGGGAGATTAGGGCTTCTTTTTACAGTTTTTACGCTCAAACAGACAGAAAGTGTGACCCCAAGTGGCCTTTTAGAGAATAACAACTACTTTTCACGGGATAAAAAACCGCCCGGAAAAAGGGGCCGGGCGTGCGGGACCGGAGCGATGCGGGAGCGGGGCTGCCCCGGTCCCGGCCCGCCCGCGCCGCTCCGGAGCTGCGCCTCCGCCCTGGCACCTCGGCATCCCCCGTATTCCCATCACCCGCATTTATTTAGCCAAAAGCACCCAGAAAGTTCAGGATGTACCTGCTTTCCCGAAATCTGTGAGGAGGAAACTGCCTTTCTGGAGCTGGGACAACGCTGCGGAGTCCCCCCCTCCCCGTCCCAACACTGCGGAGACCCCCGGTGCGGGTCTGTCCCTGCGGGACGCTCCGCCAGCCCCGCGGCGATACCCGCAGCCCAGACCCGCTTGTTCCTCTCATCCGCATCTCCTCGGAGCCGGCAGCAGCCGAGCAGGGGACCAGGGAGGCAAAAGTCGCGCGAAGTCCCCCCTTTCCCAAAAAAAGAAATTCCAGCGGGTCCCTCTGGCTGCGGGCTGGAGGGAGGGAGTAGCAAGCAGGAAGGGGGATTTCATCCCAATCCTCCTTCGCGATACAGACGCGCCGGGACTTAATGTCGTGTGGCGGTGCCTCGTCTGAGTGCTTCCCCACGGCATTCGGAGGGGACAGAGCTCGCAGTCGGCAGCGGTTCTGCCGCTCCCCGCGCCCTGCGGTCCCGGCGGTGAGCGCTGTCCCCTCACCCCGGCCCCGGCCGGAGCGGGACAGCGCTGCCGCGAGCACGCAGACCTGTCTCCGCAGGTCGCCCTGCTCCGAACGCGTGTGCGGGAGGACACGCGTGGAAGGCACACGCAGCCCCTGCGCGCCCCCCGCACTCCGCATCCCCCACGGGCATCGCAGCCCGGCCGTGCGCGGGGCTCCGGGGGCCGCGCGGCCACCGCGCTGCTGCTTTCCCGGCAGCCCCAGATTTGGGAAACCGCCGTCTGTTCGTTGTCACGAGCGGCTCCGAGGCACAGCGAGGCGGGGAGCGCCGGGGCCGGGCGGGGGGACCGGCCAGCCGGGCAGAGCGGAGCGGGGCAGGAGCTCGGCCGTCCCCGCTCGGCAGCTGCCGCCTCCCAGGGCCTGGGGGCTGCCGAGACCCCCGTGCGGGTCCGCTGGGGTTGTTATTTCGGAGGTCCTGGAAGCTGCTTGGGGAGCGCTTTATTTTTACCTGCACGTTAAACGTTATCGTTGCCAGTGAGAGAAAGGGGACCCTGGCGAGAGCTTGGGAAGCCTGGATGCAGCCCTGCAAAATGTGCCATTAGATGGATAATACTTTTTCCTCTCATAATTACTGAGGTATATTCACAAGGTGGAGCTACTGAAAGGCGGAGGAAGCATTGATCTGATTATCTCCCTGTCCATACACACTCTGTCCCTTTCCCTAATCTTTTAAACTGTGAATTTCAGATTGGTTTTGAGCTTCCATCCTCATCCTCATAAAATTTCGGGACACTTTCTGGGTCCGTTTCTTTGCTCTTCCGTCCGTCGCTCCCGTTTCCAAAATACATCCCACAAAACTTGCGGCGTTAAGCGGCTGACTAAAATCGGAAACGCTTCGTGCCCCGAATCCCCACTTAAAGGCCAGTTTTGCTTTAAATTCAGCCACCAAAGGTTATTCTCTATGCGATTTATGTGTTAGGGGGGCTGCTCCTTCCTGAATTTTAAATTATGTATATATATATATTTATTTTTTTTTAACAAGGATTGGGGAAGAAATGATGTCGTTGGAGCAGAAGAAGAGGATTCCTGGGCTGAAGAGCCCAGCGAGGCAGCTCAGAAGAGTTCCCCATCCGCGGGACTAAGCCGCGGTGCTGCGCTCAGGGGGAGGGAGCTCCGCGCATCCCGGCCCGCACCCTAAAATCCTCCGCGGGGCAAAGCGGCGGCTGAGGGCTCCTGCGGGGAGGATTCCCCGTCCCCTCCGCGCCCGCGGAGGGGGAAGAAGAGGCGCCCACCTGCCCGGCCCCGCAACGCGGGGTGCAGCTCTCTTTCCTCCCTGCCGAGCCCTCCGGGCAGTTTTTTAATTGCGACCGTCTCCCCGCACCCGAAAGCCGATAACCGAGCGGGTTTAATTTTTTTTTTTTATTTTCTGTATTTTAAGATGTGGGTTTTGAAGGTTAGTTTCGAGGAAAGAATGACTGAATGACTTCTTCCCGCTCTCCCTCCTCTCCCCCCTGCCTTTCGCAAACTCCCGGCCAAAACCGGGACGAGTTCAGAGAAAATGTTAATGTCATTTCAGATCAACTCCAGCCGGAGTGTCCGCCCGGGGCAGGGCAGTGGGAGTCCTGGAGCCACTGAAATTTGAAATCTCTCCCTTAAAGCTGGAACATATAGATACCTATCCGTGTTCAGCCGGGTAGGGCTCTGCCTGAATCTCTAAGTGACATTTAGAAAAGGAATTCTGTTACGCTGCCATCCCAATCGCCAATTCTTAGAAACAGCAGCTCTAGGTAACTGATAAAAATTAAGAAGACTGCGAAATATGTGGTTTTCATGTTCGGTTCTCTGAGAAGAACTCCCCGGGTTTGGGAGCTGACTGTTACTTTCCTCTCCAAATTAGTTTTTTTTTTACCCCGTAACATCAGCGGGAGATGTCGACTGAAAAGGGAGTTTTATGAACCAACGTACACCCAAACCGAAATCACCCGGTGCTGGCAGCAGGCACTGACGGAGAAAAAGGACATCACTTCCCTAATTCCTACGTCCCCTCACTTGATTTTTAATTTCCCAAACCGCAAGCAGACACCGTGCTGGTTGTCAGGATTTTTTCCCCTGTGTAAGCAGCGAGGGACCTGGTTAATCATCTATCGCAGATACATGTGCATGAGAAAGAAAAGTGTTGATGTTTGCTTGTTCGGGCTGATGGGAATGGCCCACGAATTTAGGATTAAATTACTACTGGTAATCATAAGGCTTTGTTTCCCCTCGCTCTCCCCTTTCTGCGGGGATTGTCAAAGTAAAGCGGGCAACATTCTTCGGACAAAGTCTGCACAGCAGCTTTGCAGTATAAAATCAGCTATTGGACCCTTCTGGGTTAACTGGGACCTCTTCAGGTTTTAGCCCGAACCAGTTAAGAGAGGGGCAAATCCCAGTAACTAACTTTAGACACGTTATCACAGGTGGATCTGGGAGAAGGGAGAGGAGCCACACTTCAAAAGGGTAGGTTTTTTTTGGGAGTATTTTTCTTTGCCGAGGTTTTGCAGCGTCCAGCATTAAATCCCCGCTGAGGAGGGGCGGGGGTCAGGGTGTGCGGGCGGAGGGTTTGGGGTTCGCTGGGTCGCGGGGGGCCCTTGCGGAGGGAGCGCAGCCGGGCGGGTGTAGCTGTGCGGGACAGGTGAAGGCACCGTGAGCCCCGCTGTGACACTGGGGAGGTGTCACTGCCCGCCGGGTTCCCCCCGAGCGATGCCCAGCTCCGCACCCCCCCGTCGGCCCTGGTATCCCCCCTTTAAACGCTGCAGCGCGACTTTGGGGGGGTTGATGCAGACGGAAGGGGGAGCGACGGTTCCTGATGGGGGGAGTCCCACCAGCGCACGTCGGGGCCATGCCCCGGCGAGGCTCCGCGTCCGTGCGAGGTTCGGGGGATGCAGGACCCCTGGGTCCCGTGGATATTATTTTCTTTCTGGAGGCGGGAGCGGCCCCCAGTGCCCCCCGCTGCCCGGGGTTAGCCCGGGACAGCTGCGCGGGCCCGGGGGCTGGAAGGGGGTTGCTGCCGAGCCTGGCTCCTGCCTTCTTGTGCAGGAAAAAAGAAGCACAGCCCCTCTACGGCACCCTCTGCAGTTGGCTCGGGGTCTCGCTGCGCTCCGGGGAGGGGAAGAGGGTGACTTCGAGACCAAATGGCATTATTTCGCTCCCTTCTACAATG